TGTTTTGTTTCATACTTTCATTAATGAGTGTTGTACCGCGCAAATGCCTCGCAGTTTCTAGTACAATGGATACAACGTTGTAGATCAGATTTGAACCATTTATGAATTGTTAAAAAGTTCATATTCAATATTTTTATTAAATTATTATCTATATATAATATAAAAAAACACTAATAAATTGCACTGTTTATAAGTCAAGAACAATGTTGTGCAGCTTTTTTTTTTTTTTTAATATTCTATCAAACATAAACGACTCACACTCCTTACAAAATTTTTTTTTTTCTAGTAACTATATTAGATAAGAACTGGAAAGATATACAACCCATATTCAATGGTTTTGAGATTTACAGAGTCATAAAATGTGCTGTAAATAAATTTATTTTAAAAGAAAAATAAAATTTTTTCAATAATCAGTGCCTTAATTAATTTATTTTAAATATATACGTTTCAACTTTTATATATTCCTGATATATTTTTTAATTACTCGATGTGAAGCTTTTTTTTTTTTTTTTGGTTCCCCAGAGCAAAAAGATATGCGGTCTTCTCTATCTCGGATAGTTTGCAATCAAATGACCCTTGAATTATAAAAACATGGCAAATTAATATCCACTTCCTCATCCCTACGTAAAAATGGTGGAAGGACTAAATTTTTGGCACACAACCAGAGAAGCAAGAGATTTTAGAATTAAAAAAATTAAATAAATAACCAAAAATTTTAAAATATGTATTCCTTCCAATCCATAATGTAAGACACTTCCAACATATATCACACATATTAAGAAAATTCAATTTTTTATAAATCTCATAAAAAATTGACTTTTTTTTTTCAGTTTTGTCCTTGCCCACATGGCTAACACTTACACTTAAATTTCTCTTCATAATTACGTACTGTGTCCATGTTAACTAACAAAGGGATAATGTAATGATATTTCTTAAAACTACAAAATGTCATACTTTTTGGACCAATAATAACTTGCAGGAAATATCCGAGGTTATGGATCAAAGGAGTAAATCAAGGGGCAGCAAATAGAGGAAGCGAGATTGGTAAGAGGGCAAGAAGTGGGTTTATGCCCCACTTCTTGCCTTTTGGATAATACCATCATATATCAGTCACAGTTTTGGAATTTCTTCGCCAAAAGAAAAAGAAAAGAACATGTTGTTTTCAACCCATTGTTATTGTGTGGCCAGAAAAAGGGAAACCAAACAGACAAGGGTGTAAAGACATTAAGACAGGTCCAGTTAATGCCCTAGCCTTTTTACCTGTTTCTTCAATAAAAATTACCCAACAAGTTTTGCCTACAGAAACCAGTTATAGGACTGAAAGTGACATATATCATACTATTCTTCTGGTCCTTTTACAAGAGAAAGAAAAAAAAAATTTTAATTTTATTTATAAAACACTTTGTCATTTTTTATATTTATATTTATTTTTATTCTTATTAAAGCTAGGAAAAATTATTAAAAATAATTATTTTTTTGTGTGTTAGGAATAAATATAAAATTTATTAAATTTTAAGATATAGTTAATGAGAATTTTTTTTTTTAATATTCTAGTGAAACATGCTAAACAAACCAGAACAGTAAATGTTAACTCTATAAATGAAGTACTATGCCGCACTATTCTATCACCCCCCATTCATACGTACATGGCTTGAGCAAACATGATGGACACAACAAAAACCTTCTTGTTTTAACAGAAGTGGCGTGCTTTAACGAATCCACAGCTGTCGTTTTTCATGAATCAAGCGTCGTCACTTGCATCTTCCCAGGTTGTCCCTGTTCCTCCCCAAATGCATATACTATATCTAATTATCTACTCGTGCTATACGTAGCTAGCTATCACACTTACCATCATTCATTCAATCAACAACAACAAGAAGACGTGCCTCTAAAGCAAATCCTGACCATTCGTTGCATGTTGCAGTCAATTTTTTTTTTTAAATCGTCCTTTAATGTTCCTGCAATAATTCCTCTTTTCCCTTAATGAGCGTCAGCTTTTCCATGCATGCATGCACCCCCCTTGAGACTTGAGACCCTTAACAACAGCACGTGGTCATCCTCCATTGTTGCAGCGTTTATATTTAAATCCCATTCAGTTAATTAATAAACATGCATGGTAGCTCTAGCCTGCGCAGTGAACACATTAGAGAGAGAGAGAGTGAGAGAGAGGGGAACAGAATGTTGCTGTTTCCCGGTCCAATTAAGTTCGAAGCTTTTGATTAATTTGATACAGATATGTTCGTCCAATAGAGTTCGAGTCCATTAATGAGGTTTGGTGAAATATCTGACCGCAAAGATGTGATGTATCAAACTCTCTTTTACTGCAAATCCGAGGAACCCTAGTTAATGTCCCATAACCATAATACCCTAAACATAACCACCCTTTCACTAATATCATTATCATCGTTATCGCCTTCAATTCCTTTTGCCTCTCTCTTCTCTGGTTGCTTTTCAGGTATATATAATAATGTTGGTACGTCTTCTTCTTCAACCATTAGTCCCTCCTTTGTGAGTCAAAGCTGATGAAAAATGAGATTACCTGAGCTCACATTTCTGCTCTGCATTCTGTTCTGGGCTTGCTTTGGGTATAATACAGTGGCGAGGAAGACTTTGCTTGTGACCGAGTTGATGAACGAGTTGAAGAAGAAGAGTATTAAGAGCTCGAACGAGTCAACAACAGATTTAAATGGTGGTGATGCCAGCAGATGCAGAAGCCATTATTGCTACTTGCGCAGCTACAAGAACAACGTTAACGAGACTAGTTTACCAGACAAAAGAATGGTTCCTACGGGACCAAATCCATTGCACAACAGGTAGATTCATCACCAAGACACGTGCAATAATGTAAACCTTGTTCAACTAATTTTCTTCTTGATTAGTTTGTTTAATTTGTTTCTGCCATCTCGCAATATTCTTGCCAATTAGCTTAGATATATCTTTGTTGATGATTACTTGTAATTCTACACAAGTTCTGATTTGGTTTCTTTTATTTCAAAGGAAGCATTGTTATATGCCTTCTTGTTTTCTAGAAAGATTCAGTTTAATTAGACTGCCCCTACTTTTACCGAATGTGAGATTTAAATACCCCCAAAATAAATAAATTTGTGCCAAAGGCATAAGTTGCGAGTTCGAAGTGGATAGAGTTCATGTAAATAGGTTAAGTGTGTGTGTGAGCTTTCCTGTGAAAAAAGTGTGGCATGTGTGAGTAATTCAAATAAATAAATACATTTGCGATATGAAAACCTGTGATAGAAGTCGATCAGGAAAAATCATTTTAATTGTATTGATTTTCGCAATCAACTATTCCTCCGTTGTATTTAATATTATAAGACATTTTTATTATCCTAATAAATTAATTAATTAATTATCTTTAAAATTATATTTTTTTTATAGTTACTCTTATTAAATAGAGTCTCTTAGTTAACAAACTTATAAATTACACTCCTTACTAAAAAATTTTAGGAAAAATTTATTAGTTATGCGTTAAAAGATCCATAATATCTTATATGTTTTAACATCATAGTTTGAAAAATATCTTTTAATATTGAACTTCGATGCAAATAAAAATGTTACAGAATTTGTGCAATGAATGTTATAATAGAATTTCTATTGGAAATTTCGTCACAAATCTTTCATTTTATTGTTAGTGTGGGCGAGGGTCAGGACGTCTTTCACGGAAGAAATAAGATTAAAAGTTACACATTATTTCTTTTAATCCTATTTATAAATCATTTTCAACATATTTCATCAAAATTAAAAAAAATTTAAGTCTCATTAACATTATCTTAAATTTAATAAATTTCTATCTTTATCCCATATAAATATTTTTAAATCTCATTATTAATATTTTTATTGAAAGTATTTAATCAAAACAAAAATATAAAGAAGAGCATTGAAAATTGACAAGTGGATAGGATCAATTTTTTTTTTCTCTCTCTCTACCCTATAAATGAGGCCGGGGAGTATTAGGTTTAGTACTTGGTTACTCGTTTATTTTGGATGAATAATGTAACAGCCTTTTTTTTGGCCAATAATGAAGAATGCAGCGACAAACAGACATGAAAATTTTGACCATTTGAAGTTAAAAAAGACAAGGGCAACATTTGGATGAGCTCTTTTTTGTTAAAAAAAAAAATCTCTCAGCTCTAAAATATTTCTGCAATACAAATAAAAAAAACAGAGAGCAAGAAGTTAAATAATACAAATAAAAAAAAAATAGAGCAAGAAGTTAATGTGCTGCTTGTGAGTTATGAAAGTGGGTGTGGAGCGTGGGAGATCTGCCATGCAGCTTTAATTTAGTGCAGTGTCGCTTCTGCTGCTGCCTAGTCAAGGTGAATTTTTTTGCATAAAAAATGCTTGAAATATAGTATATTTATTAATTACTAGATTCAGATTCTTTTATTCATCCGTTTTCTATTTTTAATTTTAATACATATACATATCTTCCTTTTACAAACGTAAAAAATCTGACGCAAAAAAGAGGCCAATACACTAGGGCCAAAGAGGAAAGGAAAAGTTAATAGGACAGTATGTTTTATTTTTTATTTTTGGTTTTTTATTTTCACCCCACAGGGACCTGCACCCAAAAAAGTAAAGATTTGGCATAAATGAATGTGCCACTTTCTCTTTCTCCAGGTCTTGTTTTCAAGCTCTGTTTTCCTTACATTGTATATCTCGAGGTTCCTCTGAGAAATTGTATTACGTACTACTGTCCTTTTTTTCTTCCACATCTCAGCCATCAATTCTATTTTCATTCAACAAAATTACACTAGTCCAAATTATTTTGCACCTGGTTCCATGGAATAGTCAAAATTTGTATCTATTTATGACTTGTTTCTAAAATTACCCTTCTTTTTTCCCCGCTCTTGGATATGGCTTAGCATGATTAACTATGAAGGTCTCTTGCTTGTGTCAAGAGATCAGATAGCAGCATCCCAAAAGCTATTACACAACAAACCTTCAGGACAATACAGAACGCACAAAAAACTAAACCATTCCCATACATAACTAGTTCACATCCTCCTGCCTTTGCATATATAGCTTAGCTTTATTCATTCAAGATTGCAACTTATATTATGTCCCCAAATAAATATGTACTTCGCTTATTAGTTAGTGACATTTCACAGATTGAAGAAATCATAATTCTGCTGTACATGTGGTGCATCATGTACAATCTAGATCAGTACATTTAATATGTTCAGGGGATCCACCAAGAGGACACAAGGAATTTTCTCTTGTTTGACTGCAAAATTTGCAACAGTAGCCTTGGATATATATATATATATATAAGGCTCCTCAAGAATGCTTCTCATCAAGTCTCATCATTATCATTATCATCAGCAGCAGCCTGTTTACGCCTTAGATGAAGGAATACTGGTCTCATTGGAGTTTTAACCATTTCGATCTTGAAGGTTAACAGTGCTACAATTTCTGACATGGGAGGCCTCAGGCTAGCACTAGATTGCAGACACAACAAGGCCACATGAATTGCTTGCATTACATCCTTCTCTACCAATCCATGTGCTCGCAGTTTCGGATCTACCAGATCCATCAGCATTGATTTCTCATAAAGCTTCCATGCCTGCAGCAATTTGAAGATTTGCATGTTCAAGTTCAGATTAATTTCTGGTGATAAATAAATAATCAAGTCCGGTAGAAACTAGGAGAGCTTACATATTCAGGAAGGTATTGCATTTCAGACGGTAAACTAAACTCTGTGTTCTTTCTGCAACTGATGATTTCAAGCAATACAACTCCAAAACTGTAGATATCAGCCTTTTCTGACAGTTCTCCTCTAGTAGCATATTCAGGAGCAGTATATCCCCTGACCAAACAAGACCATGAAACAGCATCATCCATATATACATGTTTAACTACGGCTATCAAAGCAATTTGATATAGTTTCATCATATGGACATAAACTGCTTTGAATATCTAGATTGCAATGATTACGATGCATAACAAATGATAATACAACTTGGCCATGGCGGACTGACAACTATGTTTTTCAGCACAGTATCGATAGTTCGAATGAGGACTCACAATGTTCCAGCAAATGGAGTACTGAGGCAATCTTGGTCTTCAGGGAAGAACCTAGCCAGTCCAAAGTCTCCAATCTTCGGGTGAAACTTGTCATCAAGAAGAATATTGCTTGCTTTGATGTCTCTGTGAACAATTCTCATGTGTGAATCCTCGTGCAGGTATTGCAATGCCCGTGCAATTCCAAGGATGATTTGGAATCTAGTGCTCCAATCCAGAAACTGATCACTCTGTCCTGCACAGCAATCATATTGAGTTGCATAAATTGATTAGTCAATCTTAAGTTCTGTAAAATACTAAAGAATAGGTCACTGTCAAGAACTAATTCTGCTTGGGCTTCATTAATAATGAAAAGGATCACATAGATAAGAGGAAAGATACCATTGATTATGAGGTCCAAGCTTCTGTTCTTCATGTATTCATACACTAGTATCCTTTGAGGCCCATCGGTGCAGCATCCTAGAAGGCGAACAAGATTTTTGTGTTGGATACTTGTAATCAGTCTCACCTCTGCCAGAAATTGTTTTTCTCCTTCTTGGGATTGGTTCAGATTCAATGTTTTCACTGCAATTAGCCTCCCATCTGCCAACTTTCCCTGTCAAAACATAACTTGCAATTTAGAATACCATCATGACCTGCCTTTACAAGGACATGCATATGCAAGCCTGATCAACTCACAGAAATGATTTTTCCCTTTACTATTTAACCAGTTTAATCATTACAGTAATTATTTAACAAGTTCTATTAGATTCAGTATAACTTATTATACCCGAAAAACAGGCCCATATCCACCACTTCCAAGAAGATTATCAGGATGAAAATTCATTGTTGCCTTCTTAAGGGTCTGAAAGTCAAAATAGCTCATTTCATGAACACCACCGCTAAAAAACTCCTTAGATCCTGTAAACATATAGAAACCAGTCAACCACAACACTTGAGGTCGTGTAAGGGTTTATTATATTTTGAAGTACAAGGTAGTTTGATGCTTTCTTTCAAGTTACCTTGCTGCTTCGTCGAAGAAGCTATTATCTCCATTACCTCTGCCAATGAAAACAACGGCAACATTATTAACACAACTATACTTCCATTGAACAAGTGAACTCTTACAGATTTTAGAATTTAGATTTCATATGTACCTATTGGAGGTTTAAAGATTTTAGAATTTAGATGTCATATATACCTATTGGAGGTTTCGTTTTTGTCTGCAATAATGCTGCTTTGATACGCTTCCGACAGAGAAACACAACGATCAACAATATGATGAGCATTATTATCACTACCACAAAAAACTCAACTGCTCCGAAGCCACTGAGCTGGGCCATTGGAAGCTGGATAACTTCAGAATGTGAAGGAGGCTCCACTAAAGTCTCAAAACTCACCATTAGTCCTCTGGTTCATGAGTCATTTTCAATAACAATAAAAAAAATGATGTAAGTTCACGCATCAATTCATGAAAGGTGAGGTCTGATAAAGCCAAGACTTCAATTCTCATCTTGGTCAGAAAATCTAAATATGTAAAAGATCACCCTATCCCATTATGTAGCCAATCTGACAAGCTAGGCAATTTGAGAAAACTATACTGCTAAATGTCCCAATCTCTACAAAAGAAGGCACAAAATGCAAGGAACTGTAATGAGCACAAGTCCAAATAGAAAATCCATTCCAAAAAATTAGGCCACCAGAAGAAAAAGCCTCTGAAAGTTATTAATCCCATTTCAATTGTTAGGTTTCCCGATGTGGGATTCATAACAGAAACATGTATCTGCATTTGCTCACAATACATCTATCACATGAAAGAAAGATGAATGATAGGCTGATAAAACAAATTGAAGAAATAAGCAGAGAAGTGAACCATGGATGCTGAGCGAGATAGCCTGGAGGAGGAAGGCATGTCGGGTGATTCAAGCATCCTCGTTATGTTGATGGACATATATTAAGGCATGTCCTTGTTATGTTGATATCAATTTACTTGGTGCCATTGTTATTGTTGAAGTATAGAGATGTGAGCAGGGTGGGAGGGGTACACTAAGGATGTGTTATAGATGTGATCGAAACAGAGGAATCTTGGGATTAGGCAATTAGAGCACAACCGTGACAAATAGAAACATCCAAACAGAGTTTGTCTTCTTCTTCTTTGGTTCCAATGCAACTTTTATAATATTATTACAGGCAAGGGAATATCTCTCTATCACCTATGCAGGCCTCTGGTCCACTTCAATATGAAATCATATGCATTTATGTATTTAAAAAGAAAATCATGCAAAAAAAAAAAAAATTGTGTCCTTGTGTATTGAACTTAATTCTCTCACCTTTATCATGTCTCGTCCTTATTTAAGTGCATTATATACATTTATTTTTTATTTTTATAAATATAAAGGGTTTGCATATGTCCACTTCATTGTTATCTTCTTTTTATAATTTTTTTGGTTAAGGTCTTACCAGCCGGTACCTTTGCCAATTGTTAGTGGCGGGCAGAGATTATGTTTCATTATTGGTAAAATGTTTGATTTGGATTACACTCATTCCTTTTAGGGTTTGGCAAATTACACTAGAAATAAAAAAAAAAAAACCTCAAGTTGCACGTGAGTAGGATAGAACTTTCATCACTTGAACACCTAATTAAAAATTCGAATCCTCCCCCTTACAGCAGAAACTTCTGTTATTGACAGCTTGCACTCACAAAAAATAGAAAAACTAAACTAAGCACTAAATTGTAACAAGAACGTAATATGAAAGCCCATATTGTTGGGCCTTACTAGTAAGGAAGCCCATAACAGTTTGGACAGACTTTGCCTTTTGGAACATCCCTTTTTGGGCAATAATAACAAATTAAAAACCAAGTGCCCATGACAAATATGATAACAATTTGAATTCTTTAATTATTATTTTAAAGTTTGATTTTAGGAGATGTATATAGAGAATATCGTTTGAAAAAAACAAATTTTTAAATGACCTTTATATTTCTTGAGAAGTTAATCTCATAAGTGCTAGCTGTGAGAATATTTTGAAAAAGAAATTAATAATTACACAATAGCAATAAATGTATGAACAAAAATCAAGTGAAGTCATTTAATTTAACACAAATGACAAAAGTACAAAGGGAAACCTAACTAGTTACAACATACCAATAATTAACCTACTCAACCAAATGAATATATTCTCTTATTAAAATGTCTATTGAGTGAGTCAATTTATAGCTTCACTCATGAATTTAGAGATTCCAACAAATCAAGCCAAAAACTTCTTATTAAGACCTGTTACGATTCAAACCAATCAGCTTGAGAAAGAAAAAGGGCAGCAAAAGATAAAAATCACGTCTATTGAACTGAATTTTGTAAATTAAAAACTATAATTATTTCTTTAAATTGATCTAATTCATAATAACGTTTTAAACAATTTTTAATCAATTCTATAGAAAAGAAGAGCCCATTTTGGCATGAAACTGACAGATAAGCTACTAAATGTCTAAATCTGATAACATATCTGAGTAATTACTCCTCCACCAACTTTCCAACTTTCCAATTATATATATATATATATATATATATATATTGCTTTTTTGCTCTTTCTACAAACCCACCGACCTCATGTTTTTATCTCCTTTACGTATCACTTCATTTTTTCCCCCAATCTAATAAGTGATACATGATTTTAACACTTTATTTTGGTACAGCACATTAAAATCCTGCCACAAACATACAACCTTATTCAGTTCGCTCCAGCTTGGGATTTATTTGCTAGTGTATGCTAAAGCCACGTTTGATTGGTTGCTTGGTTAGCTTGAAAGATACTAATTATGAAAGCTCCATTGATCAATGACAATAAAGGAGCCAAAATGAAAGCAAACGGGACATTCTTTACAGCCAAACATATCATTTATATATAAAGCCAATAACAAACAAAAAAAGTTATATAATCAAACATTTGACATTTTTATACTTTTATTATTGATTTGATCTTATTAATTATTTTTAAATATCAATCCGTCATCTAAGAATATTTCAAAGGCATATTTAATTTAATAATTCGTGAAACAAGTAATTAATATTAACTAAAAGTAAATGTGATACTAACAATAACCACTAAAATGTGGATTCATATACACACAAACTAGAGTAGGTAAAAAATGAGAATTGAGACCCAAAAAATTAGGCCTCCACCATAACCAAGTCAACCACCTCGATCCCTATATATGACCTTTACTTGTTCAAACTCGCATGCACTCTGATCACGACTCTTCTCTATAAACTGATAGTATTCTCTTGCCTTTTTGTCCTTCTCTCTCTCTCTCCCCCCTTGAATTTCTGGTTAATTATTTGGGACTAAATAAAGAGATCAGTTTAAAGGGTGGTTATGAAATGGGGAATAAGATGGTGATGATTAGTTTTGTTGTTGTGGGAAGCTTATTAATGGCAGCAATGGCAGATGTAGACTTGAGCAGAGATTTAGAAATAACATGGGGTGATGGTCGGGCCAGGATGGTTGGGAACAATAATAATGATAATGATGGGCACATTCTGAAGCTGTCTCTTGACAGAGATTCTGGCTCTGGTTTTCGATCCAGAAACCAGTACCTGTTCGGGAAGATAGACGTTCAGATCAAGCTTGTCCCTGGTAACTCTGCTGGTACTGTAACTGCCTACTATGTAAGTTCATGTTTCTCGTTGATGCCTATCTTGAGTGTGTGTGTCATTTCGTAATCATGTATAATTTCTTCTTTAATGCCTGTGTCTTCAGCTATCTTCGCTGGGTTTAACTCATGACGAAATAGACTTTGAATTTCTGGGTAACCTCAGTGGGGAGCCTTATATTGTTCATACAAACATATACTCACAAGGCAAAGGCGACAGAGAACAACAATTCTATTTGTGGTTCGACCCCACCAAGAATTTCCACACTTACTCCATTCTTTGGAATCCACACAACATCATGTAAGTAATCTGTCACGCACGTACACACAGGGAACACAATTTTTGTCTGATATTGTTAACTTGCTGTGATGTGTTATCAGATTGTACGTGGATGGGACGCCAATAAGAGTGTTCAAGAACATGGAATCAAGAAGGATTCCATACCCAAAGAGCCAGGCGATGAGGGTATACTCGAGCATTTGGAACGCTGATCAATGGGCCACAAGGGGTGGTGCAGTGAAGACTGATTGGACTCAAGCTCCGTTTGTTGCTTCGTACAGAAACTTCAATGCTCTTCATGCTTGTATTTCCACTAATTCTTCGTCTTCTTCTTCTTCTTGTTCTTCGCACCAGCAGCAACCATGGATGAAACATTCACTCAACGCCTCTGGGGAAGCCATGATCAATTGGGTTCAGAAAAACTTCATGATTTACAATTACTGCACTGATACCCAGAGATTCCCACGTGGCTTCCCTCCTGAGTGTTCATCGCCTTGAATCAATATGCCCGATCCGTCCTCGCTTTTGGCCCCCTGCAACATATCCGCATAAGCTTATTTTCTTCTGTCGTGGGTAAATGATGATGATCATTTTTGCATTTTTATTCAAACTGCAATTCGTCAAACTCCGAAAATAGTAAATTGGATAGTTTGTTTAATTTGCAGTTAATTATGCAGTCCAGTCTGTAGAAATGCATGCAAGTGGGAAATAATTGGAGGTCGTTATGCTGTTCTTATTCAAAAGGATAGACATTTCAAAAAGATGAATAAAATAAAATAAAATAAAAATTATGTTCAAATTTCGTCTTGTTACTGATGTGGGAATTAATAATGTAGCATTACTGTTGAACAAAATCTCCAGTTCCATCTAGAATTGGTGATATATATAACCTACAACCAGTGATCAAGATGATATATTCTTGTGATTTATTTAAATTTTATAATCGAATCGAGAGATATATGATGACTTGATGATAAACAATGAACCTGTAATTTACCATATCGGTCAGCCTCTACAAGTGCTAATTAATTTCCAAGACCATAAGAAAGAAGATTAATCGCCAAACGAGATTAACCTCCAATGCGAAACTACAATGTTGTGTAATTATTTCTTTAATTCTTCGATTCTTGAATACTTATGCCAAATTCCACTTACCCAGTGTCACCTCATCAACTCTAAGGTCTGCTGCTTTCATGTATGGGAAATAAGGATGGAAATAGGCCAGTCCCTTATCAAGAGTCTACACTTTAACCTACTTCAGGCCTAACCCAACTTATTTATTAAATAAGCTGAGGCCAGGTTCAAGCCTTTAATTAGGTTTATTTAGTTAAATAAGTTATGCTTAATTTTTCAAGGTCTAGCCTACGAGCCCAACAGGCTAATATATATATATATATATATATTGAATAATATATCACACACACATCAACTTTATCATTTGATTTTTGAGAAATATATTCTTTTTTATTTCTATTTATATTTTCAATTAGATTGAACTTATATATTAATTTTAATATTATTACTTTATTATGATATTTTATTATAGTTAGTAAGTCCTCTTAATTATTATAATATTATAATTGATAAATTAAGTTATATATTTATACTAATAATTTTATCATTTGTCATGATCCTCTATCTCATATCTATAAAAGGAGGCTTCAATTTCTCTTATAAGGTAGAACTCATTTAGCAAAAGTCTAGTGTGTTTTTCCAATCATGTCTATCTAAATTCCGTCTCTCTTGAAAGGTTGATTTTCTAATATTCTAAATTTGTTATAATAAACTTCAAAAATACTCTCCACTTGTCTCTCTAAGGAACCTGTATACCAAAAAGAATTTGATCGACAATCCATGTGTGTGAACTCATGTCACTACACCTAGAGATCTGTGGGTTGAAATGTTAAAGGGTTGAGAATCCTAAAGCAGCACGAGTTTGCCTAGGAGAGGCATTGAGGAACCTTACCTAAATCAATATACTTTATAACATTGAGATAGCTTACTTTTAAATATGTTTTTAAATAGGCTTTCAAAGCAAGCTAGCTTTATATAGGCTTAGGTTTAAGCCATGAGAAAAGCCTTATATAGGCTTCAAGATAGGCTCGGCCTTCTAATTTATCACACAAACTTAAGTCTATTTGATCAAAGTTTAACTCAACTTAGTTTATTTTCACTTTTAAGATCAAATTATCTAACATATATATTTAATCTCAAAATCTTAAGACAGATGACTTGTTTCAGAATAGTTTTTTATTCTGAAAAATTAAAAAAATGAAAAAGCTTGTTTGAAAATGTGTTTTTTATTATGCATTTTGAAAAATAAAAAAGTTAAAAATGTTGTAATCATAATATCTGTTAGATGTTTTGTTATTTTTGTTCTATAAAACTAAAGAAAATGCCAAAAATATCATGCTTTTTATATTAATAATAATTATATTAATAAAATAAATTATTCTTTCACCATTTATTTTACCAAATTCGATATATTTTTTAAAATAATGATTCAAAGACAATTTTTTTTTGTTTTTAAAACTTGTTCTGCAAGATTATTCTGCAAAATTATTTTGAACATATAAAACAGAAAACAAAATTGAATAATCTCTTATATATTATGAGTTAAATTCTTACTAAATTAATTTTGTTGAGAATTTAGAGGAATATTTAAAGATAGTCTCTTCATGAATAATGGACAGTTGGACACTTGGGCATTCTATTGGAGTTTGAAATGTAAGAGAATTAAAAAAAAAAAGTATAAGAAGATTAGCGACAAAGTATCTTAAAAAAATGACAATAAAACTCTCTCAAATTATATAAATGATAATATAATCTCTTAAAATATTATAGTTTCATTAAAGTTCTAAAGACTTTGGTGTTAATAAATTTTAAATTAAAAAGATTATTTTATTCTCATTAAAAATAACAAATCTCAATCATAACTTTTGTGTAAAAAATAATAATTTTTATTCTCTAAATAATAAAAATTGAATAAAAAATTATAACTTGTTAAGTATAATTTTTTTTTAATTGAAAAATTTTTCAAAATAATAAATTTCAATCACAACTTTTACTTGAAAAATAATAACTTTTATTTTATAAATTATAAGAGTTAAACAACTTATCAAATATAATTTCTATTATTAAAAATTATATTCTCAAAATAATAAATTTTAATCACAACTTTTATTTAAAACATAATAACTTTTATTCAAAAAATTATAAGAATTGAATAAAAAATTATAACTTGTTAATAAAAATAAATTAATTTTTTTAATTTAAAATTTATTGACATAGAAGTCTTTGGAGACTTCAACAAAATTATAATTTAAGAAACCAAATTATCATTTATATTATTTAGAGGAACTTTATTTTTTCAAGTATCTTTCTTCAAGTACTATAAATACATAAACCTCTTCCAATTAAATTACTATACAATATACACAAGAACAACAATTCTAATCCCCAATAATTTAAGTGACAAAAACCTCAACGTATAAGAACGATGCAGGTAGCAACAGATAGCCATTTTAATTCCCGATCACAAATCATGATGCCAAAATGAGTGATAGGTAGGACCAATACGACGAAGCTCTCCAGCTCCAGTTTCTCTACTCGGTCAAAAAAAAAAAAAAACACCCTAGTTTCTCTTTAACTCGTTCCATGCACATAATAAGAAGCATTTCAGAAAAACCATCTTTTGAATGGAAAAGGCAATAGTTCGTTAAAAAAAAAAAAAAAAAGAATGGAAAAGGCAATGACGGGAGGTTCGTCAAAGTCCAAAGATGACAACAACGCATTTAGTTGAAAGAAACCCAAAACGTTCACTTGAAATAGAATGACCCCTCTTCTTAAGGAAAGCTTGAAATCTCTAGTGCTCTGTGCTGTCCAAATTCTCTTGACAAAAGTATTTCTTCATCATGATCAGTATTCTCTCCAGCATATTGCGTTTAATTTGAAGTCCAAATGGAATTTAAAGACATAGCTAATGGAATTTGTTCAGAATCCAGAAACCACATACATTACAAGCTAATGGAATTTAACGACATAGCTATTAACAAAATAGAAGGCTATAGTAATTAAAAAAAAAAAAAAACAGGTTGCTTCATACCTATTTTCATGTACACAAGAGCGGCAAGCATATTTACAAGAGAAAACTAACTAGGCACACAAAACAGTCTATTGGGGCCCAAAATAAATGCTAACTCAACAAGGTGAAACAAACAACCAGGAAAGCGATTGTGCTTTGCCCAACTAAAAGGCCCAGTATTCCTCTTTTCCCTGAAGAACCACGCCAGAGGGGTTCATCATGGCACAAGCTCTTTGTCGTATTTATGGATCCCTTCGGCTTCCCTGTTAACCATCAGAAACAGGGCATTATTCAAATAACACCAACAATATGCAACAATCAACTATCACGATCATCCACCTTAAATCAAGAACGGCAAAAAACCACCCAACGAGACCCAAGAAAGAGTCACCGCTTATCCAAAATAAACTCCTAACTTATACTCAACTTGCGGGCTCTCATGCATTTACCAATGAAAAACAATTGCGATCAAGCCCATCCAAAAGGGCAGGCACCAACCAAGACCTTGAGAATTTAGGAAAGAACCCCTATGCTTGATCATTAATCATTAAAGATAGATCCTCTTGTACCATGGTAAAGAAAAACGTGTTAAAAACAATAACGCTTTCATAAGATCATGGACAGGTGTTCAAACGTAAGGATCATATAAGATAATAAAACTTTCAGCAGGAAATTAAATCCAGATTACCATTTATCATCAAGAACTGAAAAACAGTGATAGATATTCATGATGTAAGTGAAAAAAATAAGTAATCTCAGCATCACATTTCTCAATTCCCATGTTCACTTGTGCAGAAAACAAAATTGACACCACAATAGGATTTCCAGGGTAGTAAATAAATCAGAGTCCACCAATCATGTTACCGAACATCATATCCTATGACTTAAAACAAACTTAGTAGCCAACGAACATCATAGAAGTCATGCAGGAGGGGATTTTATTTTTCTCAATCGTTTCACAGACGGGGAAACACCCTTTATTGCCTTCCTGGCCTTCTTCAGTTTCAGCTTTTTAGTTGGGAGCGGGATCTCCCTGATGGGACCTGGTGGTACACCTTTCTTGAGTGCACTTCCTCTGGGTGCAACAGAGGGAGGCAGCCTCAAGCTCTGAGGAGGTAAAGGATTTTGTGGCTTCCACACCAAGTTATTTTTCATGGAAAACCTTACTTTCTTTTTACTTCCTTCCCCAATCTTAACAGCATTGATGCCATCAGCATCTCCACCACTCACCTCAGAATCTTGAGATTGCTGTCCTTTTAAAGTCTTTGTTCTCTTTCTCTTCTTAGATACAGTTCCATTAGTTGTAGCTTCAGGAGAATCAGAGACCCCTGCAATTCCATCATGCAAACCTGCTTCAGCAGCAATAATCTCAAACTGCTTTTGGAGGTTTGAAATCACAGATTCATTCAATATATTGGCTTGTTCATTATTTGAACCATTTTCACCAACTATAACTTCATTCTCATTCTCAGTAAGACTCTCCTCGTTCATATATTCAGAGGGATCACTCTTCTTTTTCTTCTTAGCCTTTTTCTCCTTGTTAATAGCGGCTTTTTTATCCTTCTTATACTTTTTCAACTGCTTACCAGCGGCCCCATTAGAAACCTTTGGAACATCTTCATTACATTCCAAACCACCTTCTGCAGCAACTACCTCCACAGTGGTCGCAATAGGAACCAAAATTGGCACTTCGTCTTCATCTCGATCATCTACATCAGGAATTGAGAACTCAAATCCTGAAGACGCCATGTCTTTCTCTAGCTTCTTAAAATCCTCATGCAGAGCAAACAATACCTTTCTATTTCCTTGGCAGCATCCAGGTGAAGAGCCCAACTCATAAAATTTCATCGAGAACCCCATGACTAATGCTATCGTTCCAAGCACCACAACATCATCTCCCGAATCGATCTCATCCCCTGCCTTCTTAATCTCCAACAATCTCTTTCCCATCTTTAGCAGAGCATCAAACAGATTAGACTTAACCTTTCCCAACAAGACTTTATCAGGCAGTTTGCCCACAACAGCAATAAAGGGCTTGAAGAGAACCTCAAGCACCTGAGACCGAATAGGGAGGAAAGGCCTAAGCTCCTCCAAGAAAATAGAGGCAATGTGGTAATTAACTCCATTGCCCTGCAACTTCTCTTCGGCAGAGAATGTCCTCTCATCCAAAACACCCATTAACCGTCGGGTAAGTTCCAAATCCCACGAATTCTTTTTGAGGAGAACAAAAAAATTGTGGAGAAATCTCCGAATCAAGAGGTAGAACTTGTCTAACCTGAGGGCGTCAATTCCAGACCATTCGCGACGCATAGTGAGGAAGAAGGCGGAGAGGTAGTGCTCAGAGAGGCCGAGATCGAGAACTTGGAGGAGTGAGGAAAGGCGATCAACGAGTTCAGCCTGAACAGGGACCTTGTCAGCGTGCCAGACGCAGTAGAAGAGGCCCTTCCAGAGCTTCTTCATGTCGTCATCGGAAAGTTGGGATTGTGAAGGAAGCCAAGTCTTGAAGAGAAGACGAAGAGCCTTGTCTCGAGTGGCCTTGTTGCAGCAGGCAAGCTGCTTGATGAGGGAGCGACCCAGCTGTGACCCGTTCTCCATCGGTTAGGAAGCCGATAGATGATGGATGCACAGTTTCTTTTGGGAACCCCTAGAGCTTCGAGGTTGAAGATTGGGTTGGGGGAACCCTAATGGAACAACCTAGAGAGAGACCGGAACATGTTGCACGGAACTAGATTTTCAGAGCGCGGAATGCCAAAGGTTTGGTCGCCGTTGTATTTCTTGTGTGGTGCTGTGTTGTTCGGTCCACTGGAAATAAAACCCTAGGCACTGTTCCGCTACCTGATTGCTCTATTTTTATCAATTTTTTTCCCCCTTTCGCAAAACCATGATCTAGTCACACGGGGAGTTTCAAGGCTGGTGTGATAAATTGTAGTACCTATACAAACTCAGTCTCTCATGTCGTGGTGAATTTAAATCGTAATTAATTGTTTTTTATTCTTTGGACATAAATATAATAACAGCAATCAGTCTTATCTTATTAAAGGAAGTCCACTTACATGAATTGCACTAATGCACAAGCAATTCTCCAAACATAAATACTCGTAATGATCAATGTGCAAATAATAATTTTCTTAGTTTTATTTCTTGTAATCACACGAGGATATTTTTAGTATAAGTTATAACTTTTCATATAGTGCATTAATAAAAATACAATGAACAATTTGTTATCACGTGTTAATTTCATATAAATTAAATTGAAAAATAAATAACAAAGTGTTTGAGTTTAAATTTTAATTTAAATAATTTTTCTTTTCTATTTCCTCCCGAATAAACATATGATATAAAAGAATACACACACACATTGTCATGATTGGCATCTTCAGAGACTTTCATTTGGTGGTTGAGGCGGTGATTTGATTACTACTACTATTAGGAGGACGTCTTGAAACAGGCTGGCTCCAAATGAGGTTGGCGTACTCCGGATGATCAACAAAAGGATTCCGATTATGCTGATAAAACTTGCATACTCTTTCATTTCTTATTCTCTCCTCTCTCGAAGGCGGATCAACCTCATTCCATTTTAACAATGTTGACAGAAGTCCCATCTCTTTCTTCTCTGCACACAAGTGACACATCATAAATTTCAACCTACTACTGTGTCTTTAGATCCTTCACTACATATCATGATTAGTATGATAAAATATATGAGATGAAAAATCAAATATTCTAATCACCATTCAAGTAGACGAGTATGAACCCATGCATCAGCACTGGATTTGACAAGTACATTAAGAGGATTTATCCTCCACATCAGGATTTCCAGGCAAGAATCCAGATAACCAGATATTGTTTAACATACCTGTGCTGGGAGCATCTGAGAGGCGAAGACCTGGAATTCTTCCTGATTGCTGAACTCCATAACAGACTTCCATGTACATCAATGCCCTTGCAATATCCCCTCTAACCTGAAGTTATTTTAATTTCAAGACATCCATGAAAGAGGTGCAATCTCAACAAAAAAGCTTGAGTTAACAATAAATTAATTGTCCATGCAGAGAGACATCAATTTTTACGTGATTCTTTTACCAATTCTCAGTTGTTCTCTGGGTATGAGTTGCCCATCAAATCCAGTAAAATAGAGTTTAACTCTACAGCTGACGCATATAATTCAACGCTCCAAACTAGGAAGCCATAACTTTTTAACTGGATAGGGGAACCCAAATATTTGTAAATACATGGAATTCCCAAGCTAGACCACAGACAAATCTCTCGCATGATCAACAGTCAGTTATGAAAGTTCAGAAAGGACAGCTTAAAAAGAAAAGAGTAACGCATATGCATATGCACACACGCACGCACGCGTACACTACCTGCCTAGGTGGAGTCCATCTTTCTTTGTCTGTTTCAGTGTCCAGAGCAGCTTCTTTGTTTGCTGGCTTCAAACACTTGGTGGACTTAGCATCGCATTCTCCATAATACTTGTTTCCTCTTGATGCATTGACTGAGAGAAACATGTACCATTAATAGAAATAGAGTCTCATGTACAAATATAGTGAGTGGTGGATTGCCTTACCGTTTGCATCAGCAGGCCGAATGTTATGGAGATCAGTTAAAGAAGGACCATTTGTTAGTCCATAAGAACGAGGCCATAGATGCTCTCCTGTAAAATGTTTTTTAAATGAGTAATTCCCAATTGCATATTATTTTGTTTCAGGAGCTATAACTCGCTATTAAATTTACTTTATTTATTCCTGTCTCCAAGAGGCTTGGGTTTCTCTTTTCTTTTTTTAACAAAACAAAAATTCCGGAGAAAACCTTCTTGTTTTTAGTGTCACGACATGATCAAGCCACCAGCCATCTAAGAAACTGAGAAGGTTGATGATGGCAAGGAAACCAAAAAAAATAAAAAAAGGAAAGAAAGAAAAAAGGTTGAGCACAATCAGAGCAATTTGCTGCAAAGCAATTGATCCAGGTAAGACTTGTGAGATCCCAAGTTTCTTAATTATATCTTGCATTTTGCTTTTGCAATCTCTCAATATCAATACCAGATTATGTCCTCAGTCCGTCCAAGAAAAACCTTACTGGACAAAGGCATTATCAATACCAAGTTGCTTTATAGTCTATATAGTTCCACTGGTATCAAGATCCATTTGGATAAAACCCTGTAGTTGACTCGAAACTAAAGCCTTTGTCACACATAATCCAAACCATTTTTCTAAACTTTCCATAACTTCAACTCCATCATAAGAGACTCTGGAATTCTAAACTTTGCTGTCTAGTACTCAACTTCAATACCCTGAGCATATGATAAATATCAGTCCCCCTTCCCCTTCACGGTAATTATTCATTTTTTTATTGTCATAATCATACTCCATGTTCAAGGACGATTCTACATATGAATCAATATTTCCAGTAGGTTTGGTTAATAATATGATCTGGTTAAGAAGTTAAGCATATTTCAAAATAACCTGTTAGTTGAATCTGATAGACATGCATTTTTCTCACTGATAATGTTATCATTTTAGGCTTTGGTATCAAAATATCAACTGAACATTCTTACCAAAAAAAAAAAATCAACTGAACATAATAAACAAGCAAAATTGAATATTAGAAGCAATAGCCACAAAAACAGAACATGATTGAGACTAGTAACTGACATCAAGGCATGGTAACTGCAGAAAATTGACTAGTTGACTCACTGTTCCATCCCTGAGGCTTTCCAGACAAGCGTTTTGGGACAACTCTCAAGGAGTATATTTCAACTCTGCATGGCATGAACCATCAACGATATAAAAGTCAGCTGGTATGGTGATATAAGATATTAAAATTTGAAAGATTAAAGCAACATCATTTAGGGTAAATCCATACACTCCTGATGAAGCATCAGGTTCATCAACCATAGCAGCATCAAGAAACTTGAGGGCATCCCACACCTGTTAATCGAAGAAGCATCTTAGATCTCCAGATTTAAAAATCCATACTGAATTTAAAAGTAAAACCACTTTAGTTGTACAAAGATTTAATCAAAATAAAAGCAGCATATAATATAAAAACCCGAAATGACCTCTTTATAGGATAAGGAATGATGTGGGGCAACAATGCTATTCAACTTTTTCTTGAGTGCTTCCCCTCTTAAATGCTTCACGTGGGAATAGTAAGTGGTAATATCCTCGCAAGCAAAATTATAGGAAGCTGGATTGTCCTGAGCATTGGCAACAAGATTGAGAAATAGCAAGTAAAAGGAGATGATATGAGAAAGCCATCTCCATGTGACATTAAAACATGTTAACCCCGGCGGTTCCCACCATCTCCTAATGACAAAACAACCCTTAGCTTCATAGCTTCCGTACCTAGATAATCAAAGAGGGAGGGGAGAAGGGATTAGGAAGCAGAAGGTTATAATGAACTAAATTGGAAAGACTGAAGAACGATAATACAACATAATCAAAACAATATCATTCACAAAATACAAGCTGCTAAGAAGAAGCTGAAATATATAAAGATCAAACAGTGAATATTTCTCATTCAATACATCAATAGTCCCACACAGCAAGTTGAACGGTTTAGATTTAAGATTAGCATATCCAGATTCATCTTTATCAGCAACGGCCAACAATCAACAAATTTGATGATCACCCATGTCCAAACTAGCGATGATGCTGGTACCATCCAACTAAATGCAGAAATCCAGGAAGACAACCCAGCGATAATAATTAATTAAAAAAAAAAGATATCAACAAATCATCCCAATATCTTTTGCTAATCGTTCGCCAATGTTAAAGAATTCTAAGTGGTTTCATCAAATACAGATACTTTTTGAAAAATGAGGGTGGCTGTAAAACAAGGGACTACTTGACGAACCTTTCGTTGACGTTAGAAGTGGGAATGAGAGGCTTTGGAGTGCTTGCACTTGCAGAAACAACCCAACTACGATGTGGCATGAAGGGAGGTCTGGTGGACGATAAAGGTTCAAAGGTCGGCATAGAGAAGGGGAAAAGTACCGAACGATGCCTTGAGTCTCCCCAGCCAGGCCATTCTCGTGTTGCAGTGCTGGACAAGGTCAGGCACCGTGTTCTGAACCGAACCAACGGAACAGGCTTTGGATGGAAGGCCATTAGATGTTTTCTACTGCGGCTCCTGACATCGAAATAGGAACCATAATTTTTATTATTTATTTATATTTATATTACTTAAGCTTCCTCCCTCCATTTGAAACATGGAGTGGGTTAAATTCAACTCATTAATGAATTAAAAAATCTCAATCTAACCTAATTTCTCAGGATTGGCAATTTGGTAGGTTAAAGAGATAACCTATCAATTCATTTACTTTTTTCATAATTTTTTTAAAATATATATTTAAACGATGAGTTTTAATATAATATTCTTTAATAAGTAAAGTCTTTGTAATAAAAAAAATTGAGGCTAGGGCATCAAGAATTTGGATAAACAAAATAGATCTTTTATCTATAAGTTGTGCTGGAAGTTACTACAGTATGAGAATGCTTTGTGGATTCAAGTTCTAAAATCAAAGTATAAATGTGATACTAACTGTATTCTAGAGGTGAGAAGGAGAGCTACTTCTTCATTGACGTGACAAGGCATCCACAAATGCTGGGGTCGTTTTGTGGAAGGAATTGGAAGGCAGATTGGAAATGGACTTAATATAAAGTTTTGGACAGAAAACTAGTCTCCTGTGGTTTTTAACAATTCGTATGATCCTAAAGCCTGTATGGCAAATTTCTTAACAAGGAGTGGGGGTGGGATGTGAACTGTATGGAACAGTGGCTGCCTAGTCATGTTATTCATAAAATAGATTGTACCCCAATTCCGAGAGTTGAGAGAGTAGGGAATGTGTTTGTCTGGAAACCATCACATGATGGAGACTTTAATATCCAATCTGCATATTACTTTCTTGTCACAAGTACAGCAAGTCCTACAGGAGGAATATGGAGCAAGATCTGGAGATCGAATGGACCTAAGAAAATCGAAGTACTACTTTGGCTAGCTACCAACAACAGAATGCACACAACAGAGTTAAGAGCTAGGAGAGGATTACTCTATTCAGACATGTGCCCTCTTGGTTGCAACACAAGTGAAGATGTGATGCATCTTCTTCGAGATTGCAATCATGCGCAGGTCTGGTGGAGCTGGCTGGAGAAACCTGAACACCGGGATCTCTTCAAATCCAGGAACAGAGATGATTAGTTGGCACGGAACCTAAAACATGAAGCTGGACAGGATTTCACAAAACAAGTACCTTGGAACATTCTGCTTGGATATGTCTGCTGGGACATATGGTGCAGCAGGTGCAAGATATTATTCAAGCAAGAAGAAGTGGACAGGGTATGGCTTTGCTACTCTCCAAAAAGCAAAGCCAGACTTGAACACACTATAGATGTAATACGTCTTGGGAAGAAAGGCAAAGCGAAGTTATGAGAAATTGATTAGACCACAAGCGGGTGAAGTTTGATTAGATGTTGAGGGATCATTATGCAACAGTATTGGAAAATGTGGAGGGGTTATTAGAGACTGCAATGCAAATTGGGTAACTAGTTTTAATGCCTGTGTTGGCACCTTTTTTGTTACTTTAACATAATTGATCGGTATCATTAAAGGTTTTGTACTTGTTGGGATTGAGGCTATAGGAATATCAAAATTTACATTGATTGTGCAGAGGCCATTAACCTCATATACAGAAGTGATATTGGTTGTCATCCTTTTAAAGATGTGATTGATCATGTCAGGTTCTTATTGTTTAGGAATTGGAATATATCTATCCAATTTTCGCTTAGGGAGGCTAAATTTTGTGCTTACAATCTCGCTAGGAATGCAGGGAAAATGATAGGTTATTTTGCTACTTTTGATCAACTATTTTCTTATTATATTAAGGTGGTGGATGACGAGAGAATCTTCTCTTTAGATACTAATTAACTATTATACCTTTTGGTATTTGGATACATGTTCTTGTTCAAAAAAAAATATTTTAACCTATAATGTTTGTATAAAATATATGAATTAAGCTAGTTAAATAAGAAAATTCCCTTATAGTTTAAATCCCTCTTTGGTGGCAAAATTTCCACCTTTTTTCCTTTTTTATTTTTTTATTTTTGAAAATAATACGGGTTAAATAGGCTACCCTAACCTTTCAAGGTTAACCTATGTAATTCATGGGTTATATGGTTCAGGTTAGAATTTTTTTTTTTAGTTGAGCCAATTTTTGTCAACCCAATTCAACTTTCATAATCGATTATTTAAGCCAACTCATATAACCCAACTCATAGTTCAAACTCTTCTCCCTCCCTATATAAGGTGTTTTAACTCAATTCCACAAATCATTAAAAATTTATTATTTAATTGAAAGCACATAAAATTATAACAATTTTTTAGTTTTACCTCCAATAATGTCACAATTAATATTGTAGTGATGAGCAATAAAGTACACAACTAATATTCTCTCCCACTTTCAAAACAAGACAAAATTATCTAATTACTCAAAAATAAGGTAAAAGTGCATTTTTGACTTGAAATATTCTTCAAGAAGCACTCAATACCCTACACTATTTGTTAGAACATTTTTGCCCCTAAAGTAATTAAATTGGAGCATCTTCTACCTTGTCATTAAATCCTGATAAAAGTTCGTTAGGAAAAACTAAGTTGGATTGAACTCTAATTTAACAAGTGTTTTTGAAAATTTGACAGCAAAGTAGATGATGTTCTAATTTAATTACTTTATGAGTGAAAATGTTCTAATAAATATTTTAAGGTATTAGGTGCTCCTCAGAAAATACTTCAAGGATAATAATACAACATTACCCCTTATCAATATTATGATACCCCTTATATTCAAAAATAAAATAAATTTCTAACAATTTACTTAATTGTCTTTAAAATTATACTCTCTTCATGTTTACTCTTATTTAATAGATTATCTCAATAAAAATTATTAATTACACCACTAATTTAAGATATTTTTGATATCTTATTAATTGCACTTTAGATGACCCAAAATATGTTATATTTTGAAAATTATACTATAAACTAATATCTATATTATTAATATCAAATAAACTAATATCTATATTATTAATATCAAAATATGTAAGGATCTAAAAATGTCGTTCTATTTAAAAACAAACTCGTGTAACTATTACCCTTATTATTGTACCCTCTTTATGTGGCCAGCCTATTACTGGAGACTTAAACACACACAAAAAAATAAATAAATAAATAAAAAAGGTGCGAACAACTACAACAACGCTTGTTTACATTTTATACTTGTGTGTGTGTGATACTGTGATCTGCTTAGAGTAATTCCCATCGCAGAGCCCAAGGCATGAGTCCTTGTGAACATTTATTAAATTGACATGAATCATGCACATTTAACATTATGATAGTGCACAATTAACTTAATCATTTAATAAATTTTAATAGAACATTGATAATTTCTACTCTTACAGCCGTAAGAACACAATCATAATTTTTTCAAATTAAAAATTATGTAATCCTCTGGAGCTCAACATAATATTCCAACCAAACGAAAATCCACTATTGAAAAGAAAATAGATATATGCCCCATCCATGTTCACAAAGAAGCTTTTGTAATTTGATTTCCGAAAAGCAAATAGGCACCTCTATTCTTACCGAAAGAAAAAAAACAAAAAAGGAACAGCAACATCCTTCCAAAAAAAAAAAAATACTCTAGCCCTTTCAGTGAATGAAATAAAATGTGAAAAATGCATTGGTGGGCCTCCATCTCTGGGAAAATATTAATGGATGAATGGCTGTTTGGTTCCACAATCAAGCTGCATTATTATCATTTGCACTCTCTGCGAGCAGGTCATCATCATACGAAACAGGTATCCTCAATCTATCATGCAGAGAGTTGCGTTTCCCTTCAGGAGCAGATGCTTCATTTTGAGTTTGCTCAGGGGATGCAACAAAAGTGCTGTCTGAAACATTGTCGTCCGTTCCTTTAGCAAATGAAAATGTCACCTGTTGTGGAGCATCCACTTTCTTTTGCTCGAATGGTCTCTCAGCAATTGGCCGTCTGAATTGCCTCTGCATCATTGAATAAGCAATACGAACTACTTATCATGACTAAGCAAGTTAGCATCTATGCTTCAATTAAGATAATGCATAGGCATGGTTATTCATAATGGAACATGTAAACTTCTAAGCTAAACCACACACATAACAAATCAAAAGCTGCATATAGTACGGTTGGTGAAAGAGGTTGCTCCAAACAATTCGCTAATATTGGAGAAACATTAAAACAAAACAAAATCATCATTATTATCATCACCATCATCTAAAACCCTCCCTGCCTAAATTACCAGGTGAATCTAGAAATTGAACAGTTACTCAGCATTAGAAAAAAATAATCACACCTCAAAGTCCTTTGCTTTCTTCATTATCTCTTTGTAGGCTTTTGGTTCTCGAGCTTTAATGATATTCCACAATATACCACCACCATTCCGGAAGCGGCTACCATCAGCAGTCATCTGGCCCCCGCAAGTTTGGATAGCATCAACCTGTGGCTTGAACATGTCATCATACAAGTTTGGGACGTATCAAATTGGACACAAAAAAGAACCAAAACCAACAACAAAAACTTTTGAAATGTCTGCAATGACAATGACAATGATGATGAAAACCACCAATATGCAAGCAGAGTATGGTACATATTGTAGGGGATTTGTCCAAGCAAAAAATTATAATTAAAAATTGCACAAGAAAAAAGTAACAAATTCATACAACAGATATCCTGTCATCAGTGAAAGGACGATAAGATAGTATGCGATGTTATCCAACTTTGGCTTGAACATCAGTGGCTGGCTATGTTAATTGAGCAAACATCACTTAGTTACAGCCAGTATATTCAATTCTTCGAGTTAAAACAGTTTTTACATGTGCACCGTGCCCGGCAAGATGAAGTAAAGAATGAAAATCAACCTTTACAATTAACAAATGATGAAGTGGTTCAGCCAGGAACCTCAGGTCTCAAGCATAGATGTGGAAGGGGCAAACAAGCTTCTGGAAGAAAAAATCTGCAAGGTTAGGGACACAAAATTGTGCATCAGAAATTATGAAAGGTTGAGTGGTTCTATAGAAGAGTGGATGAGCATCATCAGCTCTAGGCTTGTCCAAATCAGGTAGAACCTAATTTCTCACCTTTCCTTAGAAAAAGCAGGTTAACTGCGTCTGCTCCTAGTACAAAGCATGCGCCCATTGAGAAAGAGAAAGAAGCAGAAGAAAACAAAAACTAATTGCAAAAGGAATCTTTTTTATTTAATAAAAATGCAAAGCACATTTTAACTACTAACTAATAGAAGACCCAGTAAGTGAAGCTGAAGAATATCCAGATAGCAGCTATAGGACGATACAACAGAACCCAGCAACTCTTGTTAGGTTGGATCTATGGTTGTAGAAACAATACTCTAAGATGTTCAAGTGCTAGATATAAGAAGAACCAGAAAATTAAAAAAAATAACATTTACAACTGTGCATGCTGCAGACACTAATACATCAAGGATCAAAGTTGTGCGTGTGTGCGTGGGTCTTAAAAAAGAAAAAAGAATGAAACAGAGTTGTTACAGCAAACTTATAGTGGCCAATCAACCCAAGCAACAAAAGCCTCCATAGAACTACAAGGACATAAAAGGATTTAGAATTGAGAAATTGGTGATTCTGTGTAAGAAACACAGAGAAGGATTGGAAAATTTAGACGAGACATTTAGGTAACATCAACATTTTAGTACTTGGTTACCAAAATCAACATCAAAAGTAAAACTTCTAATTTTGGGTAGAAAAAGGGAAATTAAGAACACTATATCTTCAACTAGACAGATATGAATCAGAAACAAAGCCTCTCCCAGCTTTTCATTAAGCACAGTGGTGCATATTGTTAGAGCCTTGAAATATATTGCTCTGTACATGGTTCTTAAGGTTTTTTTTCAACTTCCAACTTCCAAATTGGCATTATGTTTTCACAGAAAGCCCTACTTTATTAGGCAAACTGATTAAGGAAATGAGCTTTCAATATGAAAGCAAAATACCAGAAAATATTTCACAAAGCCAAAACCAAAACCAAGATAGCAGAAAATAAAAGGTTCTAATACCTCTTTGATGAAGTCGCTTAATGCTGCGACCCCAAGGCAACCCACAGCTGTGTATACCATGTATGACTTCTTCTCTTTCAACCGCCGACATGTATCTAACACAAACCTGAAAAGCAGATAATTTATTAGAATTCAACAATATGGAAAGGATGGCCAACAAATTTGAAAATACCTCTCCCTCGTAGTTGGATTAGGGGATTATTTAAAAGTAACGATAAGAAAATAGCAGTCACTTATGCTTCTTTTAATAACAAAACAAAAGGGAAGCAAGGAATATAAAATCACTAATGCCTAATAATTCTATTAATAGAATTTTAAAAACTATTGAATTGCAATGGCAGCCTGGTTCACTTATCATCTATAATGGACGGTAATAACAGCGAATGGAATGTTTTGTTGAAAACTTTCACTTGTTTGGGAGTGTTTCACAAGGAGAAAGCGAGAATGAATTACTTTTAATGAACACTCAAAAATCCTCCCTTCTTTATATAATTCCAAGTTCCCATTTTCTTTGATTGAAGCTATTTAGTATATTACCTTGTAATTTTAAACATCCAGTCAAGCAGAAGAAAAGTTAACCATTCCTTCCCCTCCCTTCTCTACCCTTTCTGTTTCTTTAGAGTCTTTCCCATCCCGAATCCCAAATAAACCCTAAAAATGGAATAACTGGTGGTATGGAAATGGCTTTTCAACTAAGCCTCCCAAATCCTCCAAAGTCCTCCTCCTTCTTTATTTCAAGGTCCCCAATTTGGGGGATTTTAGCGAAGAAACTTTCCTCAAACATGAGCAAAAGGAATCCTCATTTCACCATATCCTCCCCTTTACTCCCTTCCCTTCTCCTCCGAACTCCATATAACCCAAGTCGTGGGGCTTACGTCACTAAGAAGTGTAACGTGCAGGTTGAGAAGTAATTCCATAACACTCTATTGAATGTAGTTTTTAATGTTTGCCTGTATGTATGACTAAGAATCTAAGTAAGTGAAATTGGGCATAAAAATAATAAATAAATAACTGGGTCCAGCCTTCCTATATGAACAACACTTTGGCATTGAGGTACGACCAATTATTTTATTTTCAATTGACTCTGCAATTCAAGAAAACTTTAGTGTGTGTGTGTTCCTATTAGGAAGTAGGTATACCTGTTTATGTCGATGGATCCTGAACCCTTCCTCTTCTTCTTATTCTTCTTCTTATTAGCTCTATGCTTGCGATTCTTACTCTGAGATTCTTGATTTGTTACATTGATATCTACACTACTGCCTTGCCCCATATCGGTCTTTGAATCATGGTCCAGCAGCTCTCCTTCTTCAACATCAAGCATCTCAACATCGTCATCAACATTGTCAAACCTCTCCTCTTCGTCAATGACATCTAAAACATTATCTTCACCCTCCATAACAATCTGCAGTGGAAAGAGGGGTTCATACCAATAAATAGATGGAACGAAACAAAACCAAAACACATCCAATATTTAAAGAACACAAAGAAATATAGCTCAAATATCAACCACGAAAGATGAGAAAAAGGAAAGAAAGAAGAGCAAGAAGAAATTGACGCCGCCGTAGTCATAACATGTGGAAGTGCGAATAGAATAAAACTCTATGAACTTCTGCATACCACGTTAAACGTCGAAGAAACAGAAGCTCCGCCTCCGAAAGGGCCCCTTAACCTTGCTGCTCAGTCCCCTGCTCCCCTCTCCAGTCTGTCCTCTCAGCAATGGTATGGCTTCCGCAGCGATGTGCGTGCGATGAAACTCAGCGAGACAAAGCAACATTCAGCTTTTTGGAGACTTCAAAGCATTCGGGCCTAATAAATGTTGGGCCTATATAAGCAAGCCCAACTTTCCATGTCGACGCTCGAAACGATGTCGTCTGGAAGTCCAAGGAGAGTTCTCGGAAAATGGTCATGAAGCATGATACACCGATCGAAGCTGGTTTGAATCGAAATTTGAAGAGGGTGGAAGAAGCAAGCAAGCAGCCATGGCTTACATGAGCATGGGAGAAGCACACAGAAGGATAACGGACTATCTCGATCACTTCTGCGATTCCATATCTTCTCAAGACGGAGCTTACTTGAAGTCTCTCTTCTCTCTCTCCTCTAACTCCCCCTTCCTTCTCTCTGTGGCTGACGCCCTCAATCTCTTCCAGGTCTCTTCCTCTCCTCTCTCCTTTTCTCTTGTGAATTTAGCTTATTGATGGAGGTACCAAGGGAATTATTAATCTATCGGACAATGTTTGGGTTTTTGTTTAGGATGCTAATAGGTTGATCAAACAGTCCGAGAAGTACTATCAGTACGCAGAAATCCTTGTTACTTTTTTCCGTTCCTTGCAAAGTTATAAGCAGGGCAATTTGGTTGAATCTTATCAATCGTTTGAAAAATCTGCCAAGTATTTCTACTCCCCATCTCTTTTCTGCATTGATTCTCATATGTTGTTCAGGAAAAAAAAAATCCTAACTTTAAAACGGTTGTTGTAATTGCTGGAATTCAGTGCTTTCATCCAGGAATTTCGCAATTGGGAATCCGCCTGGGCCTTGGAAGCGTTGTACGCGATTGTTTACGAAATTAGGGTTCTTGCAGAGAAGGTATGATATGGAATTTAGTTGTATGATTCTGAAAGATTCACTTGTGGGTTTCTCTGATTTGAAGTTCACAGACTTTATGCTGCGTAGATGACGTGCCAAGATTTTTATTTTGTTTCCCTTTTCAGGCTGACAAGGAACTGGCTTCAAATGGGAAATCTCCCGAGAAGTTGAAAGGAGCTGGTTCGTTCCTTATGAAAGTTTTTGGTGTACTTGCGGTATGTTTCCTATTGCAGATGTAGATGCTTAGTAATGTATGTTGCTAATAGTACTAATTTTTCTTGGCATTAACGTATTGTTTTTTGAAATCTAATTTCACCTTTAGGTTTCGTATTTTATTTCGATCTATTTAATAGTTGATGCTTTGAGTTTTTAAAACCCAGCTATGATTATAAGCTCGATGCTCTATTTGAAAGTTAAGGATGATGCTTCTTACTGCTGCTATCTTATAATTTAACACTACATTATGTGTTATGGAGGAGGACATTGGAGTCGAAATGTATGCTCTTTGCGGATGATATAGTTCTTATAGCAGAGACAAGAGAAGAGGTTAATTGCAAACTTGAGTTATGGAGGAGGACATTGGAGTCGAAAGGTTTTCGTCTGAGTAGAAGTAAGACGGAATATTTATATTGTAAATTTGGTAAAGGACTATTCGAAAATAATTTCGAAGTGAAATTGGGAGATCAAATTATACCTCAAGTGGAAAAGTTTAGATATTTGGGAGCCATTATTCAAAATGATGGCGAAATCAGTGGAGATATTTCACATAGAATTCAAGCTGGGTGGTTTAATTGGAGAAAAGCTAAAGGAGTTATTTGTGACCGTAGGGTGCCTAATAAACTTAAAGGAAAGTTTTATCGTACTGCTATCAGACCGGCAATGTTATATAGTAGTGAATGCTGGGCTCTAACGGGACAGCAAGAGCATAAAGTTGGAGTAGCAGAGATGAGAATGTTACGATGGATGTGCGGACATACACGTAAAGATAAAATTCGAAATGAGCACATACGTGAAAAAGTGAGGGTGGCACCTATTGAGGAAAAAATGGTAGAAAATCGGTTGAGATGGTTTGGGCATGTACAAAGAAGACCAAGGGAGGCACCAGTGAGAAGAGTGGAACATATAACTTTGAGTCCGATTAAGAGAGGTAGAGGAAGGCCTAAGAGAACACTCTTGGAAGTTGTTGAACGTGATCTCTTAATTAATAATATTTCTAAAAGCTTAATAAATGATAGAGCACAATGGCGTCTTGCAATCCATGTAGCCGACCCCACCTAGTGGGATAAAGGCTTGTTGTTGTTGTATCATGTGTTACTCCTTCTACATGTTAATCTTTTTCATACCTTAATCCAGTCATTTTAATCGTTGATCCTTTATTTTTCAAAACCCAACAATGAGTGGGCAGGCACAATAGTCCTTTGAAAATTAACGATGGTGCTACCTATTGATGCCATTTTATTACTTAACACAACGTAACATGACATGCCTTAATTTCTCCTGTTTCAGGTAGCAGATTAACTTCTTAATTTATTAATCCTGTTTATTAGCCACTTCTTAAGAAATATTTAGTGTTTCCCAGAGCATGGTCTAACACTTCTTCTCATTTATAGTCAACTTTGTATAACATATACTTCTACTCTTTGTGTCACCAAAACAAGAGGAAATTACTTCTATGCTGCAACGCGTCAAGGTGTTTATGTGGAGTTTGATATTTAGCAGCTCTGCTTACTCTTTCATAGCTTTTCTTGTGTTCTAGGGGAAAGGACCAAAGCGTGTTGGAGCATTATATGTAACTTGTCAGTTATTCAAGATTTACTTTAAGGTAAAATTTAATGTGCATTTTGCTTCAATATTAGTCATTAACGGTTATTGAAAGTCAGCTTGATCTATCATGCTGACATGTAATGACACCAGTCTGAACTGAACTTGGTGTTACCTGAGCCTATGAAATTTGTGACATGTTAGCTGGGTTCAAGTAAGGGTGGGGTTTAGGACTGGAATGATATCTGTTATTGAAGTTAATGCTGAGATATATACATATATATTTTTTTTTATAATTGCCGTACAGCTTGGTACAGTTCACCTGTGCCGCAGTGTAATACGAAGCATTGAAACTGCACGCATATTTGACTTTGAAGAATTTCCTAAAAGAGACAAGGTTAGTGTTGTAATTCAATCAATAAATGTATGTGTTTCTAGATGTGCTTACCTTTTTGGTTGGCTCCAGGTCACCTACATGTACTATACTGGTCGCCTTGAAGTTTTCAATGAAAATTTCCCTGCTGTAAGTTTTTTCAATTTCCTCTAAATCATTATGAGCTACTTGCATGTTGAGTCTGGTACATCATCTGCATGCTAGATATCTACTAATTTCAGTATATTTTTACCTTACAGCACTATGCCCATATCTAGGCAATACTATTTTCAATGGAATACTGTACCATTGCTGTGAGCTATATTGGATCAATGTATTGCTTAAATTTTATTAATTTACCTAATCAATGTTTCATCTCCATTTTCAACTGAATCCTACTTTAGCTATATTGTGCAGTTGAAAGAGCATTAACGATATACTTCAACTTTTTTAGATCTTTATTTGTATTTTACATAAATGACTTGACAGGCTGATCATAAGTTATCGTATGCCTTGGAGCATTGCAACCCTCAGAGTGAAGCCAATATCAGGTTTGGACCTGGTGTGCTAACTGGGTATATGGCATTTGCATGTGGGGGATTTTTAGTGGTCAAATTGCAATGCACTTTGCTTGCAATAATGCATCCATGGGACAGTAGCTATGCATATTTTGTGGATAGGGTAAAGCTTGATTAGTTTGATGTGTGCTAGATTTTTAAATATGGCCATCGGTGATGCATTACAAATATTTGTTTATTCTTAAATTTTGCTATTCTTTTCAGCCTAGTAAAACAAAATTATTAGTTAGATAGTTAGATTGGTTAACCTTTCGGAAGGTGAGTAGCTATTAATTAAAGCCCATCAGTAATTAAATTGTACAAAAATTCTTTTACCTCCTGAAATTTTATAAAATAGCAGTGCTCGATATGTGACAGTTCTTTTACCTCCTGAAATACAGATAGGTTGGGTGAACTGAATTGTTTTTTTTTTTTTTCTTTTTTTGCTCTAATCATGCTTAGGATTAGATACATTTGCAATCCTGAAATCCTTTTTGTTTTAAAATTTTGACTTTCAACTTCAAAGTTGTGAGTATTGTTTTTGGCAAGGTACTCAAATCCAAACCAATCAAGGAACTAGTTCAAAAATTAAAAGTCAAAATCGTAGTCAAACCATAGTTTAACCGGTTATGAGCAAAACCTTTCATTAAACTGATCAAGACATTAATTCAATGGTTTATTGTTTAGCCAGCTAAGTTAACTTGGATTTCAATGCTATGGTTTTTGGCATGTCAAAAAAGTTTGAACCCTTGATCACTATTTATAACTTACCCCACCACACCCTTTGCCACCAGATTTAGCCCCAGGAGAAAAGTGGAGACTAATTTAAGGCTTTCTGTTAATTATTCATGTTAAATCTATAAGCGAAACATTTAGGATATCTCGCTATGCCATATGTAGACAGATTTTACATTATATGTCTCAGGCTATTTTTCAATTTGTTCTTGAATCTTACAATTCATAAATAGGAAATATACTTACCGGTTGCCAGATTGCCAGTTGATTTGACTGCAATGTTCAACACCACTTATTCTGCACCTTACTTGTATGACTGTTTATCACCATTGGTTTAATATAATTAAATTAATTATTAATAATTACAGTTAATTGTTGGCAAAAAATAAATAGATGAATATTGACAGATAATTATGGAATGTCAGATGTGAGAGGTTTAAATGGGTGTAAATAAACGTTCACCTTGAATTCATAATGATAGATCATTTTGAGATGCATCTTGCTGTTTTATTTGATTTTTTAAGGAGTAATATGATGATCACTACTTTGTCTAGATAGCCTTGCTGCATCAAAGACTTGTGAATACCTTGACATATGATTTTCCTGAATTATTATATTTCCACTGTTCCACGCTGTGTGCCTCATAATTTTTTCTTTTCTTTTCTTTTCTTTGAACATAGGATGATTCTTAAATATCTAATTCCTGTGAAGCTTTCGCTTGGCATTTTACCTAGAGATTGGCTCTTGGAGAAGTACAACCTACCTGAGGTATGTTTGACCTAGTGAGGATTCTTCTTTATATTGTTTTTGTTAGTGTGAAAGTAAAGTTCATAGGCCAACCCAGTTGATATGCTTGATTGGTGAGCTAAATCAAAAGAACCAAACCAAATTGAAATCCATTATGGTGGATCCCATCCGGTAGTTGAAATTTTTAGTATTGGCAAATTTATGTGCCGTACAAGTGTTTATACAGTTACTCTTTTCAACTTTTGGACAGTACAGTAACATCGTACAAGCTTTAAGGAAGGGTGATCTTCGACTTCTTCGGCGTGCTCTCCAAGATCACGAGGACCGGTAAAATGACTCATCAATTCAGTGTTATTCCAAGATTCATTTTGCAGAATATAATCGCATCTATTCATTTTTGTAGGTTCTTGAGGTCAGGTGTATATCTTGTTCTAGAGAAGTTAGAACTTCAATTATACCAGAGACTGATAAAGAAAATGTAAGTTTCCAATATCACCCGCACCCTCCCTTGTTTGTTGCGGTTGATAAATGAAATGATCACTCAATAAGTTACTCAAGCAACTACTTTCTCGTTTTCCCTTGGCAACATGGCAGTTACATCATTCAGAAGCAGAAAGACCCGAACAAAGCTCACCAGGTGAAGCTGGAGGTTATTGTGAAAGCTTTGAAATGGCTTGAAATGGACATGGATGTGGATGAGGTAATTTTGATATTTTCCACTGCCTTTATTCTACAACTTAAAAGTTATAATCTGTATAAAGAGAAGTGAAATAAAAAAAGGTATTGTAATTGTGGATTCCAATTGGTGTGAAATTGCAGGTGGAGTGTATCATGGCCATATTGATATATAAGAACCTTATGAAAGGTTACTTCGCTCACAAGAGTAAAGTGGTGGTTTTGAGCAAGCAAGACCCTTTCCCCAAATTAAATGGCAAGCCAGTCAATTCATAGTGAAGAGATGATGATCCTTGGCTTTGTTCTCAAATGTGTTCTCAAATGCACCAATTATTATAACAGTGCGTAAGTTTTTATAATCACGTCATTTTCTTTTTGGATTCATCTTTTTTCTTAGAAGATGCTAAGTTCCACGAATTAGATCGTGGCTTCTTCTTCTTCTTCTTCGTTTTCTTCTTTCACTGTCTTAACGCTTACCTTGATTGCCATACTATTGCTAGGGTATAATCTATCTAGTCATTTATTACCCCCATCACCATGGGCAATGTCTTGTGATTAAATTGATAGTATTTTTTTATGTATTAATTATTTTAAACGAGAAACGTAAAAAAAAAAAAAAGTTTTAAAAATTTGATTTCAAGTAAAAGGTAGCAAAAGAAACTAAACAGAATTAGAGTGAGAAAAGATTTTAACAAGAACGTAAAAATATTTAAGTAGTGAATGCATATCTTGTAATATCAAGGGTAAAAATAAAATGATTTTGAGGTGCAAAATATTATTTATAATGGTTATACTTGTAAAACAAGTATATTATTAGTTGTGTGTAAAATGTTAAAAGTAGCTTATAAATATGATTTTTTTTAAAAAAAAATGACAATTTAAACTGATTCAACCGTAGGTATTGACGTTTCACGGCTGATCAATTAACACATCTCTTTATATGTTTTATATACAATCAAAGGTAAAAATAAAATGATTTTGAGGTGTAAAATATTATTTATAATGGTTATACTTGTAAAACAAGTATATTATTAGTTATGTGTAAAATGTTAAAAGTAGTTTATAAATATGATTTATTTTTTAAACTGATTCAACCATGGGTATTGATGTTTCAGTGCTGATCAATTAACACGTCTCTTTATATGTTTTGGATACAATCAATTCAAATGTTAAAAAGCAGCTATGATTGGTTATTCATATTTATGCAATTTACTTGGTGTGAAATAATAGTTTGATTCAGTAAATCAGATTTCTAAAGCAAATCATGGAGCTACAAGAGTCAAATTTTAGTCAATTGATTCCAAGCTCGTATCATATTACTATTAATTTTAAGATGCCAAGTACACATTTCTTGTGAATCTACGTTAAGAAGTCATTCCAAAAAGTTGTTTGAAATGTTACATTTAGGCATAATAATTAAATTGTAAATTTACAAAATCCTAAACACTCCAGATTTAATATGAAGTGACAAGGTTGCATAGAAGATTCATTTTTTATTTTTTACTGCTCATATTCATATTTCTCTCTTCTTTCATTTTTTGTCTTTTTTTATACTACTGATTCATTTTTAAGAAAGTCCAAACCACAAGATGACATGAAGATTTGGAAATTTTTTTTTGTTGTCCATCCAATATCTAGAGTTTTGCATTGACTAATCTGAATTGGACTCGGGTCACACACCTAACTATAGTGAGTGATTTTTTTAGCAGGAATTTTTTATTTATTCAAGACTTAAACTCAAAGACTTCACTTAAATAAAATCAAATCACTTATTATTCAGACTAACTTCGGGTGATAAGTTTTGGAAAATTAGATGTCCTTGGCTTTTGAGGTCTTAAAAGAAATTAGTTTTTGTTGTTAAAATTATTAAAAAAAATTGTGAAAAATTCCAAAAAAAGCCGTGCGGATGATGAATATATCATTATTTCCCAAATGCAATCATCACTATGATGATTGAGAAGTGCTCTGGTTAACGTCAATCTCTGAAAAGCTAAACATAAAAAGTACTCGTCTTGTTGGCTTTACCTTCTTAAGCCCACACTTGACAGTTGACGCTCTTTTTCCCCCGGTTGCGTGAGCAATTTTTTTAGGGAGAACCGCATTGTAAGTCCTAAAACAGTAAAAAATTTCTCCTTGAACTCAATATATTTTGATATTGCATTACAAGCTCGAGAACTCTTATTACAATTTTTCTTAAAAGTGAAATTACAATTTTATCCTTATATGATTTGAAAATTTAAATCATACATAACACAATATTTATGGATACGCAATACGATATTCATGATTACACAACATGATATTTATGCATGTATAATTGATTTGTAAGTTAAAATATATATTACACAGGGCATGTACAATACAATATTTATTGATGCACAACATGATACTCATGAATTCTCAACACAATATCTATACATGTCTAGTTGTTTTATAGGTTAATTAAAATAAAATTACATAGAGTATGTACAATACAATGTTCATAAATGCATAACACAATATTTATGAGTATCCACATATGAACATTTAATTAAAAATGCATGAATATTATGTTGTACATCCATGGACATTGTGTTGTGTATTAATGAATATTGTGTTATGCATGATCTGAGTTTTCAAATCACATAAAAGCAAAATTATACTTTTGCTCCTAAGAAAAATTGCAATAAAGACCTTTGGGTCTGTAATGTAATGTTTTGCTCTTTTGAAGCCTGTAGTGTGATTCCTCCAATTTTTTATGATACCCGTAAATTCTAGCCAAAGTGACAACTAAGTCTTAAGAGGATTAATTAATTTAAATTAAAGCTTAATTAATTTTAAAATACCAACAAGATTTCTTAGTTCTTCAGTGGTAAAATATCAAATCTAACAACTTCAAAAAATTATAAGTTTGGTTTTTAATTTTACAATTTCATTGCAAATTTTAACAAGGTTTAAGAATAAATAATATTTATTAAGCTTTTTATTTTTTTAATATTAAAGATGAACATTTGAGTTTGTTATTAAAATTTGATAAATAATTTACAAATGCATCACAATAAAGTTACAAATCCTTAAAATGATGAGACTTGCTATTTTTTAACGTTAAAAGACAAACATTTGTGTTCACTTTTAAAAATTAAAAAGTAAGTAATAAATGCATCACAAATGAAGTTGTAAATTCAAGAGTCCAACTTCGTACCTTAAAATTGATTGAAATTTAATTTGAATTAATTAATTCCTTAGAACTTAATTGTAATTCTTCCTAGATTCTACTCCCTTGGGTAAATATACGATTTAGCATATATAAATGTTAAGGGAAATTGTGGAGAAATATTAAGAGAAAATGCAACAATCGACCCCTCTATTTTTATTTTTATAGAGAATTATATTGAAGTACCACACAAAAAAATTAATTATTATAAAGTATATTAACAATTGAACTAAGAAAAATAACAACACATTGTGTTATTAATGGGCTTAGTTCAATTAATAATTGACCTTATAGTAATTAATTTTTTTATATAGGATCTGTATGTAGATATTAGTTCATATATTTTTTATTTATTGCCTGTCCTTAAGTTTTATCTGTTTGCAGCATTAGTTCTTATTGTTACTAGCTAATAGAGTTCAATTCCATTGCTAAGTTAAATATTATTTGAGTAAAACAGCCGCTAACCTTTTATGTCATTTTATTATAACTGTCGTGTCTTCCTTCTTTTTCTTTCTTTTTTTTTTTAAGTTTTCCTCGTCAAGTGTTTAACGATTCTTATCCAATGTCATGCTTTTTCTGTTCACCTCCTGCTCAGGCTTTTATATAACTTATTACAATTTTAATAAGTCAACACAAGAAGTAATAGAAATTATGTGCATGTTACTGGTTGTTAATCTTTATCACTCTCTTGTATATGAGACACGTACCACACTACAAATCTAGCTATGTCCACCATTTATGAAAACCTGTAAATAAGAAGTAGTCATCATTTGGGTTGAAATGAGTAATTGGGTTGTGTTGGATCAGAGTTCATTGAATTTACTAAAAAGATAATAAAAAAAATTAAACCACATGAGCAAAGAGACCGAGATATAATGTCTAAATATAGTAATATCGTACGCTCATATCACCCACCACCACAACTTTATTGTCCTCTCTTTTCTCTCCCCTCTTCGCTATCATTATCACTTCCTGTATGTCTGATATTCACCTCATCCTCTTCTCGAAGCTCCCAACAATAAGACCTCACACACGTCACACAACAACATGCGTAACCAAATTACAAACGTTGTAATAATTCAAACAAGACAAAAGGGCAATATGTATATGATATGGGTAAAGTGAATTAGCGATGGAGAATTAATTAAACCTTATCCACGAACGAGACCATAGGATAAAACCATGAGCAGAATAGCAGCTTCTCTCTCGTCCTGTGGGAATAATAAAACTTGCTGTCGAGACAAGTTCTTGCTCAAGCTTATGGCTAAATCCTCTAAAACAACCTTCTTCCCACCTCCATCAGTCATTCGTTTCTTCTTCTTCTTCTTCAATAATGGCTTCTTTATCTCCTGTTTCTTGTGTACTTTGTTTTCTCTCGCCGGAGCAGCTCCAGCTGCTGCCGCCATGGACCGCCTCGCCTTCCTTTGTCGAATTCCACACGCGTTGCAAAGTGACTGTTCCACCGAAAGGATTGTTCATCAGCATAACATGTTAGGCCCACATATGAATTAACGAAATTCAATTCAAATTTCCAAGTCTATAACTATATATGAGGAAACGCTACTAAAGCCTGTGAAATGATGGCGTTTGATTTGAGAAAGAAGATCATGATCAGAAGAAGAAGATGTATACCTTAGGGCCCGTTGGTCCACTCCTCCAGAGAGGGGTCTTAGTGGTGTGGCAATCAGCACAAACCCTAATAAAACTGATATTATAATTAGCTGATGAAGATGAAGATAACGGTTGCTTCTGATGATCTTCTTGAAATTTGTGCATAGTTTGATCCGAAACCATCGTCTTCCTCGTTCTTCTCATCTTGGCTGATCCTTCGTTAATTTGATCATTCTTATCTTCTTTCTTCCTCGATCTGCCACAAGGCATGGCAGTCTTCTCGGCCTAAGAAACATCACAACGCGACAGTGATCAATAACGGTAACAGCTAAGATTGTGTGTGTGTGTGTGAGAGAGAGAGAGAGAGAGAGAGAGACTCACATCTGCTTGTAGGTGATTCAGTGATGATTGATGACGATCTGCTGGATGATAAAGTGGAGAAGAAGGTGTAGAAGAGGGTTGAATATGGTTTTGATGTCCATAATTAAGATCTGAAGACATGGAAGAGGACACGACTGATGATGATGATGAACAGCGATAAGTTGGTATCATTGATGCACGCACATAAACACACAAACTGACTCACACACACACACACAGACACACAGGTATTGAATTGATGAAAAGAAAGTAGGAAGAGAGAAGGCAAAAAGCCAAAAAGGTATTGAGGGGTTGTTAATAATTATGTATTGAGGGGTTGTTAATAATTATAAGAATGATGAAAAAGAAAATAAGTAAAAGAGAGTGAGGAGAGCCTGAGTCAACTGGAGTCACGCTATTAAAATTCAACTCGCTTGGCTGGTCGGCTGTGGTTCGTCCAACGAAAGAGTTTTGAATGAGTTAAGATGTTAGATTCTATATTTTTTCTTTTCTTTTCTTGCTCAGCCTTACATTCGTGCGTAGTAATTGTTACCTGAATGTTCCATTTTGTGACTTGATGCCTTTTTTATTTTAATATACTCTTTCAAGGGTATACTTTTATTAAATTATATAATTTTAATAATGATATGGTTAACCCCGGTTTAATCGTGAATGCACATTGACTCTCAAATCATTGGTTCAATCACGGGTCCTATTATGAGTACCTAAGTAAGAAGAGAATCACGTAAAGAAATGGCAAAGGCAGAGCAGAAGGGACAGCGTTAAAAAGACAAACAAAACTGAACGTAGTGTAAGGAAAGCTTACTTGCGTACATGCATGGACGATAGGGTGTAGCTGACTCCATACTTTACGAGTATGACAAAACCCTAATTAATTTATGCAAACATTTCCTAGTTATTACGTACATTTAAATGCTTCATCAAACCCAAGAGAGGCTTAAGCATTCATTTTGAAAGCTATCAGAGGTGAAAGAAATAAACTAAAGAAGGATTGAAAAATGTCATATCTATTATTAAGATAAATGGTACATTATATACACAAAGAAAATAAATAATACAATAATGACTAATAATTATATAATAATATTAAATAATTTTTACTAATAATGATTGAGATATATACACAATAATGATAAAAAAATATTTGGAGAATATTCTAGATAACATCCCCCCTTCAAACTAAAGATAGCTTAACAAAGAGCAACTTAAGTTTATTTACTAGAAACTGAAAACGGCCTGGATGAAAAGATTTTGTAAACAAGTCTGTCAGCTGATATTTGGTTCGAATTGAAACAAGTTGGATGTTGCCCCAAATAACATGTTGTCAACTAAAGTGATAGTCAATCTCAATGTATTTGGTCCACTCATAGAACACATCATTGTGAGAAATCATGATTGCAGCTTGACTATTATAATAAATGTCTGTGGAAGAGCTCTAATATGCTCCCAACTAGAGCTAAAAAAACGGATTGAGCCAGCATGCTAGCCCATTTAACTCGCAAAATTTAATGGATTGAGTTGAATAAATTGGCCCATGTTTTAAAACAGGCTGGACTAGCTCAACCTGTAAAACTAGTAGGCTAAAACAAGCTAACCCGCGAGCTAGCATATTTTTAAAAAATTATTTTTTTTATTTTTTAGTCATATTATATCTTTTTATAAACCTACAATAATAACAATATTTCTCAAATATATAATTTATGACACCCAAATATGTTACTTATATTTAAAATATAATGTAAATCTTTTTTACCATTTGCAAATAAAATTTTTATTATAGTTTGTAAATCGATGATTTATTAATTCTTATAGAAATATTTTGAATATATATTATTTATTAATCTCATAAGATCTATTGATTGAAATCATAAATATGAATCCATTGAAAAAAATAATATGGGTTTATATTTAAATTTTCTTTCTCAATGAGAAAGATAATAGACATAGGCGAGAAGATAATTAATAATAAAAATCTAGTAAAATAAATTTGCTTGGTTGAATTCTATGTTTATTTTATTTATTTATAAGTTCTTTAATTGCTAATTTGCCTTAAAGTGTGAAATATATATATATATATATATATATATTATATAAATTTTAAGTTGTTAAAAAAAATTTGGTAAATTTTTGCAAGCTAGCCCGCGAGCTAAGTACCCCTTTAAAAAGTAGGTTGGGTTAGGTTTTCCAACCCATTTTATTTAGCGGGCTGGCCAAATCCAACCAGCAAAAATGCCAACCTATGTAAGTTAGCCTGCAAGTTGGCCTATAGCCCGTTTGCCCAGTCCTACTCCCAACTCATCAAGTAGCCAATGAAGCCAAAGTACCTTAGCAGTAGTGTCTGCTAATGCACGATATTCCAATTCAATACTGGAGCAGGAGGCTAATGTCTGCTTCTTACTTCTCCAAGAGATAAGAGAATGATCGAGAAATATACAAAATCCTATCGTGGACCATCAATCATCACGATCACCACCCCAATCAGCATCAGAGTAAGCTCCAGCATAAAAGAAGAGCTAGCATAAAAGTGAAGGGCTATGATATAGAGTGCCTCTAATATATCAAATGATTCGAAAAACTGCTGCATAATGAGTTATGTGAGACTCGAACATAAATTGGCTGACAATATGAACTGCATAAGCAATGTCAGGATAGGTGACAACAAGATAGATAAGGCCCCTAACCAGCTGGCAATAACAAGTGGGATTATCCAACAATGTGCCATTAATAGAAGTATAGTGAATATTGAGTTTAGTAGGAGTAGTTTCAACTTCTTTATTAGAAAGGCAAACTTGGGATATCAAATCTAGAGCCAGTAATTCGGGTTGGGCGGGCTTATTCGGGTTGGGTTCAATTTAGGTCTGGCTTATTTAGATCGAGCTTAAAGAATCCTACCCATTCTAAAAAGCCTATATAGCTAAGCCCGTCCTTAACATCTTTGAGTGTTGGGCTTATTCGAGCCAGCCCGAATACCCAAAAAAATTTTAAAAATATTTTTTCTTTACTTTTAATCAATTTTAATTTTTAAATAATTTTATTAAGCATATAATATTATTTTAACTTGAAAGGAATAAAAAAGATAATAACTTATTAACTTTGTAGTTAAGTACTTAAGTAGCTCTATTACTATTTTGTTGTAGGCAATTTATTCATGAATGTTTCCTTTACTTGTAAATTAATGTCTTTTTTGTTTAAACATTGCCCTTATCATGGTTATATAAAAATATTTATAAATTTTAATTAAATTATACTATTTTAATTATGATCAAGTTAATCTCAATTCAACTACGTTTAAATCAATAATTTAAAATTATTGCCCTAATTAGCTCAAAGTTTTTAATAATTATTGGATAAATTGTACTTTTTATTTTTAAGAATATGAGAAAAATAGCCATCATTATATTATATAAAAAAATTATTTAATTATGGGTAAAAGACTATTTTTTAAAATTTTTTCTTTAACCTTTTATATTATTTAAGCCCTATATACAAGGGGTATTTACTTTAGTTCATTTTTAATTTTCAACCAAGTCTGGCATGAATGATAATTAAATAATTATTTAAAAATATTATCTTATTTATTATGTTTGTTTAGTAGTAAAGCCAAAAATTCGTACATGCCCAAAATTTATTTTTAAAATTATTTTTAATTTAAAATTAATTATTTTATTTTATAAAAAATATAAAATATAATTTTTTGGACAAGAAAATGGTGTATATGACTTAAATTTTTTAAAAAAATTGAGTCTTAAAATATAAAAATAAATATTAAAATATATTTTAATTATTATTTTGAGATATTTTATTTGATTAAAAATAATAAAAATAAGAAAATATAAATATTTTAAATTTTTTAAAATAACTATAGTAATACACTCAAATATATGGTATTATAGAATAAAATGATATAAAACTTTAAAAATAATTAATATTTATTATATTATATATATTTTTAAAAATTTATTTTTTCTATTCGGGTATTCAGGCCAAGCCTGAACCCGATAGGGCTTGGCCTGAATTTTCTCGAGCCTATTCAGGCTGCCCAAATAGGCCCAAAAAATAAAAAATTATTATTTTTTAAGCTCGTGTCTAAATTTTTCGGGCGAGTTTGGGTTGGCCCGTCGAGCTTGGCCCAAATTACTGGATATAATCAAATCAATGGCATACTTGACTTGAGAGAGATATATACTATCACTCCCATGGCAGACCTCAATCTCAAGAAATTAGTTCAATCTATCAAGATCCTTCATTTTAAATTGCTAGCTCAAATATGTCTTGAGCTCCGGTGTCATTGCTACATGTGATAATCATATTATCAACATACAAAAGTAACAAAACAATACCATAAATAGTGGAGCAAAAAAAAAAGAGCTAAGTTGTGAGGACTACATGAAAAATTCAATTGACTCATAATATTAATAAACTTAGCAAACCATGCATATAGAGCCTGCTTGAGCCCATGTAGCACTCAATAAAGATGATAGACCTTGTCTTTTGGATGTTAATACCTGGGTGGAGGCTTTATATACACTTCTTCTTCTAGATCTCTATTTAGAAATGCATTTTTAACATTCATCTAGTAAAGAGGCCAGTGCTTAACAGTAGCAATGGCTAAACGGTTACAAACAAAAGTCATTTAGGCAATAGGTATAAAAGTTTCATCATAGTCAACACCATACTCTTGAGTAAATCCTTAGGCCACCAAGCGGGCCTTACATTACTTTAAAGAGCCATCAAAATGAGTCTTGTTCTTGTAGACCCATCGACACATAACCAAAGTTTTACTAAGAGAAAGATCAACAAGATCTTAAGTATGTATTTTATCTAGGGCTTATAATTTATCATCCATAGCTTGCTACCAATAAGAATCACAAGAGGCTTCCTTAAAGGATTTGGATTCCTAAAATTGGAGAATAGTGGAAAAATAATGGTATCATTAAGGTAAGAGGGAGAATTTCTTACATGATTAGGCTGAGAGTCTGTTGATGATATAGGCTCAGTAGGCGTGACTTGTGTTGGAGGAGCAATAAGTATGACAGTAGGCACATCTGGAGCAAATGCAGCATTAGTTGTGGAAACAAGCTCAATAGAAGAATCTATACTTGAGTCACTGGGAAAAGGATCGATAGAAATATCTATAAAAATAGGAGGTGAAGAAAATAAGAATAATGAGAGATCGGTTAGAGATGAAAACTGAATATTTTCCCAAAAGACAACATGCTAAGAAATACAAATACAATGAGAGAGAGAGAGAGAATCTCAACAATAATAACCCTTATACTCAAAATCATAAC